GTTGGGTGACTTAGGACTGGACCCTGGGCATCTCATTCACCTGGGACCTGGAGCTCACGTTTTTTCATCCCTTACAGAAGGACTCTGTGACGAGGTAAAGTACAGATGTCACAGCACACCCCTGATTCTCCTCATCTGTCTCTCTGCCTCCTTCCAGCTAGTCTCAGCCCCAGCCCTACAGTCAGGAAGATCTCAGTGGCCACAGTCCAGGTTGTTCTCACTTCCACGGTCCATGCTGGCCACCTGCTGCCCTTGACCACAGCAGGGCTCCAAGCCTGGAGTGACAGCAGTTCAGACACCGTGGGGAGGGGGCAGCTTCCCTCAGTGGTCGTCACACTCAAAGGAGAGACCAGGGTAGGGAAAGTGGTCCACATACCCACAGGACTCAGGACACAGGTAGGAACTTCCATCAACGCCCAGGTCACTGACCTGGTGGCAGCATATTCTAGAGAAGAGTCACAGTGTCCTTAGACATGACCCTGGAGGCTGCATCAATGGGAACTGAGTTCCTGTGTTTTGTTTGGTCAGTTTGGGCTCTCCCCTGCCCCAATTTTAGTGGAATCAGATTTTATATCACTAAGTTTATAGCATTTTAACCGGAAGATGAATCCCACTGTGTGGTGATATTTTGTTTATGATCTAACAAATAAAGCTTGCCTGAAGATCAGAGTGCAAAGCTAGACACGCTGGTCAGCCATAGAGTTCAGGCAATGGTGGGACACACATTTAATCCCAGCAGCCACACTGGTTAGCCACAGAAGCTGGGCGGTGGTTCATGCCTTGCATCCCAGAACTACAGAGGAATATAAGGCGGGTGGAGTGCAGGGTATTCAGTCTACAGTCACGCTGAGGACAGGATCTCCCCTTTTGGTCTGAGCCTTAGTAGAGGTAAGAACTCTCTAGTGGCCGGCTGCTTTGCTTTTCTCATCTTCAGCTTGAACCCCAATATCTGTCTCTGGGCTTTTATTATTATTTGTGCTACACCACTGTCCTAAACAATTTGCTTATGAAAATTCTTGAAACCAAAGGTGTGATGGAGAAGGTGACAGTTTATTGAGAAATTACTGCTTGGGTTTGTTTGCATGGTCAGACCTCCTGAACACCTTGTAAACATTCAGAGAAGCCCAAGTCACCTACCTGGAGAGGCAGAGAGGGGACTGAGGCTCTTCAGGCAGGAGAGAGCTCTAGCTGGCTGACTCCAGCCCACCTCCACGCTTTACAGGAAGGACTGAGCCTCGTCCTTAGACCCTGGCCTGGTGGAGTGCAGAGCGCAGCCAGCACATGCCAGCAAGCATGCACCACATAGTCACTGTGCTTCCAGTCATGGGTAAAAAGTAAACATCACCTGCCATTCTCACTGTCCAAGATGACAGCGTATGCTGGGACAGGAACATAGATCTGACCCTGTCTAGTGCCTACATTCCCAAAACCCTTTTATGGCGGGGTCTAGCTGTTCATCCTGGGGTACCACTCCCAGTTCTGACAGCCCTTTTTTCCTAAAGAGGGGCACCCTATCTGTAGCAGGACTTAAGGCCAGAGGTCTTGGGGAGGACACAGCCTCACTGTCCCTGCTTAATTCTGTGGAAAGCTGGGTCAGGTTGGCCTTGGATCTGGTATGTCACCCCACTAGAGGTTCCTGTGTTGAAGGCTTGGTCCCTGGTTGGGGGTGCTGTTGAGAGTACTGACTTATGTAAGAGTCACATGGGATCATAGCTGAATGGATTATTACCAGGTAGGGCCTTTCTGAAGGGTATCTTTTTTGTTGTTTTTATTTTTGGAGACAGGGTTTCTCTGTGGCTTTGGAGGCTGTCCTGGAACTAGCTCTTGTAGACCAGGCTGGTCTTGAACTCACAGAGATCTGCCTGCCTCTGCCTTCTGAGTGCTGGGATTAAAGGCATGTGCAGATTTTATTATGTATACAGTGTTCTACCTACATGTTCGCCTACAGGCCAGAAGAGGGCATCAGATCTCATTATAGATGGTTGTGAGCCACCATGTGGTTGCTGAGAATTGAACTCATAACCTCTGAGCCATCTCTCCAGCTCCTGGAGGGTATATCTTATCCTCATGTATGCAGTCACTTTCTGTCTGTCCTGAAGTGATAGCTCTGTCACACAAATGTCCTTGCCAAGGCGTTCAGTCTCCTCTGAGTCCCAAAATGATGGAGCCAGCCAACCCTGAACTCTGAAACCTTTGGAACTGAGCCCAAATGCCTCCCCTCTTCAGGTTTTTTTCATCCTGTGTATCTTGCATGTATGTGGTGTATGCTTGTGTATGGAAGCATGCAAGTGCAATGTGAGCATGTGAAGGTCATAGGACAACTTACGAGAGTCAGTTCTCTCCTTCTATCATGTGGGCCCCGGGGACGGAACTCAGGTTGCCAGGCTTGATGCAAGGACACCTTCAGCCACTGAGCCTCCCCAGCCAGTTTGTTTTTGTTGTTCTGAATCCACCTTTTTATCAGGGTGACTAACAGGGGCGCTTCTGAAGATCGGCCCAAATGCCAGTCCCATCTCTTCTTGTTGTTGTTATATGTTTGTTTGCTTCTGTAGCCCTGGCTGTCCTGAAACTCACTCTGTAGACCAGGCAGGCCTCAAACTCAGAAATCTGCCTGCCTCTGCCTCCTGGGCTAGGACTAAAGGTGTGACCACCATGCCCCGCTCCATCTTTTTTTTTATTAATTTGTGTGTGTGTGTGTGTGTGTTTCTGCATGTATGGCTACGCACCACGTGTGTGCTTGGTGCCCATGGGCACCAGGGAGGGCATCTGATTCAGTAGAACTGGAGTTTGAACAGTTGTGAGCTGCTGTATGGGTGCTAGGAATAGAACTCAGATCGTCTGGAAGAGCAGTCAGTGCTCTTAACACGGAGGCATCTCTCCAGCCTCCTAATCCTACCTTGAACTGGAGCACACATGCTGCTTCCAAACATGTCTCCTAGCTCTATTCACATTTGACCTTTATGATGAGGAAGGGACTCAGGAATTCACATTTCATCTTAAGGGCCAGGGATTGAGACAAGGCCTCGTTATGTACCCCAGGTTGGCTTTGTAGTCCAGGCTGGCACTGGACTGGAAGCAATTCTCCTGTCTCAGTCTTCTGAATTCTGGAATTGCAGGCTCTGTCATTCAAAGACAAGGCTGGGGCTGCATTTTACATCAGAGGAGCTGGAGGCCAAGAGGAACCTAGGCTGCAAAGTCATGGAAGGCTATATCATTTTCCAGGGCAATTGGGAAAAAGCAGGGTCTCTTTGTTGGAAAATAATTTAAGCCAGGTGATGGTGATGCATGCCTTTAATCCTAGCAATTGGGAGGCAGAGACAGGTGAATTTCTGTGAGTTCGAGGCCAGCCTAATCTACAGAGTGAGTTCCAGGACAGCCAGGGATACACAGAGAAAACCTGTCTCAACAAAACCAAAATAAATAAAGTATTAAGAACTTTACAGGCAGGGGTGTAGTTCCAGAGTGCTATACAGTGTACATGAATGAGGTTATGGTTCCATCCCCAGCAAAGAGGGGGAAATGGAAGTTCAAGGAGCCTATAGGAGCCTAGTGTGGCGGCGCACACCTTTGGTCAGCATGTAGGAGGCAGAGACAAGTGGATCTCTATGCATTTGAGGCCAGCCTGGTCTGCATAGTGAGCTCCAGGACAGATGGGTCCGCACAGTAAGACTGACATCAACAACAGCAACAAGACACCTATAGAGAGACTCAACCAAGCCACAGCACAGCCTCTGGTCACTTCCTGTGAAGGTGGCCCTGCCTCAACCCAGAACTGGTATGGACACTTTTCAGCTCCTGAGCTCACCAGACCTTGGCCCGAGGCACTCTCAGGCTGTTTTTGAAGGTGGGTATAAAGAAGTCTGCCAATACCCAGGTAAAGAACTAACAGGTCTGTATTTGGGGAGCACTCACACAATGATAGTAAATAACCACCAAGGTCTTCCTGCTCCTGGAGATGCAGTCTCTGCCCTTCTGGATACAATATGACAAAAATAACTTTACATTTGTGTGCAAAAGCTTTGTAAACAGAAAGAGGAACCTACACAGTATGACAAATATCATTTCAAGTTTGAAACAATATACACATTACCTAAGACAGGAATACAAATTAATTAATTTTAAGTATCAATATACAAGAATCTACAACATTGTAAGTTGTCTATAGCTAATAGTTCACAAGAAGATATACTGATCTACCTATATTCCCTTTATGCTTTTCCTTTTTTAAAATTATAACTCCTTTCCTGGGGGCTTTTCTTTTTTTATTTATTGATTTATTATGTATAGAGTTTTCTATCTGCACAGCAGAAGAGGGCACCAGATCTCATTACAGATGGTTGTGAGCCACCATGCGGTTGCTGGGAATTGAACTCAGGACCTCTGGAAGAGCAGCCAATGCTCTTAACCTCTGAGCCAACTCTCCAGCCCCCCTTTATGCTTTTCTAAAAGAGATTCCTGAGTCTGAAAGTCATATTCCACTCCCAACCCTACACAACTTAAACCAACCCTAAGCAGTTGACAATTACTATCCATATCCTTGGGAAAAACCAAGGTGCACACCTTTAATCCCAGCACTTGGGAGGCGGATGTCTGTGAGTTCGAGACCAGCCTGGTCTACAAGAGCTAGTTTGAGGAAAACCACCATCTGAGCCAACTGTAGGGAAAGGGGGCTTCATTTTCTTAGAATTACTTCCAGCTGTCATGGGGTGAAGTATCTCTATGGGATCCTGTAGGGAAAAAAAAAACTAAGGCAATCGTTACGTTTCAAGAGGACTAACTGCAACATTTGAAGCTGGTCTCTGAGTAGCAGGTGAGGCTTATCTGAAGCTCTTACGAGAAGCTCTGACTAGAGTGTGTTGTAAGAAGGTAGACCATCTCAACTAGCTAATCTGAAATTGTCTTGAGCAGTTTTAGTCCAAAATCAATCATTTACAGGTGTTTACTAGCTCAAAGACATCATTTTGAACCAAGTGGAATCAATGTTCTGGAGACTTCAGAGATTGCTATTAGGAAATTTTATTGTTCACTGTGGAAGACTTAAACATTAACATCAAAACATAAAGTTTAAATTTTTATAGGCATGCATACAAGGAAAGGTACCAATAAAGATGAAAATAAGTATGGGGAAAATTAGAATTTTTGAGGGATAACAGAGTTTTGACAATAATAGTCCCTAGATTTTGGTTTTCCTCTGTCTCATACAAGTTGACTCTTCTTAGACAGAAACTCTGAATTTTTTTTTAGCAACATGCTTAGATTTAGAGAAGGAGAGAGCCACAGTCCAACTCCAAAGTCAGCTTTGATTGTTAAGTGAATCAGGATGGGACCACCACATGGGAAGTTAAGGAGATGTAGGTGTTTAGGTAGTGAAATTTTCCCCTGTATTAGATTTTGGTATCGTAAGAATAGCATACAATTCTGCCTTTTGCGCCCAGTTGTAAGGGCTTTGAAGCACTTACTTATATCTCCTGATTTATATTCTGCCTTCCGTGATTTGTTTGTATCAGAGTGACCAACACCCCAAGACCACTGGCGAAACGAGATGCCACTGCATGTTCCCCCCTCTGTAGAGAGGAGAGCCTTGGGCACCAGTCTTCCTTCCAGGCTGACTTTCTGGAACCTTCTCCCAGAATCTTAGTCTCCTTTGCCCACCACCTCTCCCGACCATGAAAAATGGATACCCGTGTGACTCCACTCAAACAGGGGACGCAGGGGCCCCTGACAAGCTAGTCCTTTGGGCTGTGACTCATCCGATCCTGTGTGTCCTGGGGTCTCAGCTGGTAAGCAGCTGTTCTGGTGTCCCATGAGGAGGGCAGTCACCTGAGGAACCAGAGAAAGAATGGCTCATGACAGGATGACTCAGGCGAGAGAGGCCAAGAAGGGGTGGGGTAGGATAGGAAGTTGCTTTTATGCTCTCTTCAGCCTTGGTCTTCCATGGTTAAGCAGATAGAGTGAAGAAAAATAAAAAGCCACCAGTGAAATTTCACTTTCAGACACACAGTGGATAATTTCCAAGTATGCCTCAAATGCTGCATGGGCCGTGCTTCTGTTATTACTGACTTTATTTTTATTTTTGTGCATGAGTCTTACCTACACTAAAGGGCATTTACCTTTAGAGTCCGGTGTGTGATGGCACCCAGAAGGCAGTGGAAAGTGGGGTGAGAGGTAACCAACCCGTGCAGAGAGAGAGAGAGAGAGAGAGAGAGAGAGAGAGAGAGAGAGAGAGAGGATTGATCAATAGATTTCAGATGATGTAACATCACAAAACACAAGTGGCCAGCTGGTAGGTGAAAGGTTCAGGCATTACTCTGGCCTGCCCTGTTACCTGGCAAGATAGACTCAGGCAACACTCTGGCCAGCCCAGAGCTCTTCGAGAACCACGCAGGTGCAAAGGACCCCTTTAAAGGACTGACCCCTGCCTGCTTATGCTCTCTTTTTACTCTCTCTTTTACTCTTGTCTTCCTCTCCATCTCATCTCCTTTATTACTCCTCTCTCTGTCTCTCTCTCTGTCTCTCTCTCTCTCTCTCTCTCTCGTATCTTATCTCTCTCTCTCTGCTCTGTACGGGTTGGTTACCTCTCACCCCCCTTTCCCTCCTTGTCTACCAATAAACTCCACGTGGATCGTTGAGTCACAGTTTGTGTCTTGTTACTGGATAAACCTAGACATTTTAACAATAGGAGGGAATGTCTGCAAAATATGTAATATCTAGCCTATATAAGCACAGACATAATACAGTAAGCACAGCAAGAGAAAGTGTAGGAAAACAAAGGGTAACGTGTGTGTGTGTGTGTGTGTGTCCCTTGATGTAGTTTTTTGTTTGGTTGTTTGTTTTGGTTTTTAGAGACAGGGTTTCTCTGTGGCTTTGGAGCCTGTCCTGGAACTAGCTCTTGTAGACCAGGCTGGCCTCGAACTCACAGAGATCTGCCTGCCTCTGCCTCCCAAGTGCTAGGATTAAAGGCGTATGCCACCTCCGCCCGGCCCTTGATGTGTTTTGAACGATATTAAATTTAGGCCAGTGACTTCTGGGTAGACCAAATTTCCCTTTATCAATCGAGTGGGTCTCACCCAAACAGTGTTAGATGACCTGATGCAGGGGGCTGGAGAGATGGCTCAGAGGTTAAGAGCATTGTGTGCTCTTCCAGAGGTCCTGAGTTCAAGTCCCAGCAACCACATGGTAGCTCACAACCATCTATAATATGATATGATGTCCTCTCTGGTATGCAGATACATATGCAGAGCACTCAGAAAAAAAATAAAATAAAAATGTTAAAATATTTAAATTAAAAAAAAGTATGGCCTGGATTTGCTTCTGCCGTTAGCTTTCCTGGGTCTTGAATCCCCAGTCTAAAGATTTAAGATGGGGACTGGAGATGGGGCTCAGAGATCGAGCACTTACCCCACATTCCCCAGCCCTACAGAAAACATGATAAAACTCAGAGGCGAGGGCGATGGCTCAGTGGTCAAGTCCTTGTCCTGCAAGTGTGAGAGGTAGCTGTGCACATTGAAAGCAGTGGGGGAGGGGAACTGGTAGACCCCGGAGGCCCATTGGCCAGTCTGGCTGAAATGACCGTCTACTGGTTTTGTGGGTGACTGAGGTCGTCTCAGAAGATTAGGTAGAACTGAGCACAGTGCCTATGCCTTTAATCCCAGCACTTGTGAGGCAGAGGCAGGTGGATCTCTGTGAATTTGAGGCCAGTCTGATCTACAGAGGAGTTACAGGACAACCAGGGCTACACATAGAAACCCTGTCTCAAAAACAAAAACAACCCCCCCAAACCAAGGTAGACATCGAGAGACTGACTGGCAAAAATGTCATTGTCCTCTGATATACGCAAGCCTATTTCTCTCTCCCTCTGTCTGTCTGTCTGTCTGTCTGTCTGTCTGTCTGTCTGTCTCTTTCAGATTGAACCCAGAATGTCTCATGTTAGGTGAGATCTCTACCATTACTTAAGCTATAGCCCCAGAATTTTGTTTCACATTATTATTTACTTTAGTGTGTATGTTCCAGTGTGTGTGTGTGTGTGTGTGTGTGTGTGTGTGTAAGTCTGTGAGTAAACTCTCGCTACAGCATATGTGCAGAAGTCAGAAGTCAGAGGATGACTTCCGGGAGTCATTTCTTTGATTTTACCATGTGAGTCACAGGGATCAAACTCAGGTTGCCAGGTTTGTTGGTAAGTGCCTTTACCTGATGAGTTTACCAGCCCCAGACCCTAACAATTCTTTTTTCCTTATGAGGCAGTCTTGGGGCTGGGATGGAGCTCAGTTGACAGCATTTCCCTAGCAGATACAAGGCCCTTGGTTTAATCCCAACACCACAGAAACAACATGGCTGCACTTGCGATCTCCGAGTTTGGAAGGCAGGGGTAGGGAAATGACAAGTTCTGGGTCATGCTCAGCTACAAGTTGGAGGCTGGTCTGGAACACAGGACACCTTGACTCCCAGAGCTGCAATGATGTGGGGGCTGGAGTTAAGCCATTACAGAATTACCCTAGATTCTCCACTTCTGGGACTTCTGTAGCTCTAGCCTAAGAAGCCCACCATGGAATCCCACAACGCTGCCAATCCTCTCTATGCAAGACTCTCACTGTCCTGGATTTATTTGCAGGACTGTCCCCACACCCCTGGGTGGTCCCAGTCAGAGGACCTGTCTTCCACACAAACACTGCCTTTCCTCCAAGGCCCAGCCTTGGGCTTTCCTGGGGCCTGTCCTCTTCCTGGCAGGTCTCCAGTCAGCTGTCTCTGGCTGGCCAGGCCCTTTGGCACGCAGCAGTCTGGCTCTTGTGTTTGGCTAACCTGTACCACTGCTAAAATCTCTATTGACCCACCATGACAATTCCTGGAAGGTAGGGGCAGCTGAAACTAGGAGGCCTCTTGACCTCGACAGCCACCAGCCTGCTGCATTCACCACGCCACATACTTGGCACATGCCCAATGCCTTTACCTTGAATGTGGCTTTCAACCCTAGCTAGACACTGTACTTCCCCTCTGGTTCCCTAACCGCTTCCTGAGTACCTCTGTCCCGCCCAGCCAGACTCTTAAATTCTTCCAGATTTAGTTTAACATGACGCTATCTCTTGGCTTAGCTCAACGTGGATTTACATCTACTCTCCCCCCACCTTGAGCCAATCTCATGCCTGGTAGTCGCCCTTGAACATTTATTAGATTTAGTCCCTACGCCAGTCTCCCACCCAAACCTGGGGACTGTTTATCTTTACCCTCACAACCATCGTTCAGCTCGTTTCGAGTCCTGGGTGCCTCGCGTGAAAAGACAGTGAATGTACAAATGGCCCGATCCAGAAGCGGACGCTATCCTGTAAACGACCTCGAACGCGCGCCCCGCAGGCAGCCTTCTTAACTGTCGGTGGCCTTAGGTACGCGAGGCCCCACGTAAAGAACACCTCGCCAGGCGCCGCCAGGACCCGGGGAGGTGGGAGGAAAGCCACTGAAGAAGCAAGCGCTGCCCTGGGGGAGGCGGGCTATGGTGTCATATGATTGCCTAGTCACGTGATTCCTACAATTGGGGTGTGGGGAGAGAGAGGAAAGGGAGGAGGAATGTGAATTGGGTAGAAAAGAAACAGTGTTCCTGGACAGTCCCGCCTCTATGTAAGCAAGTAACCAATGGAAGCCCTGGATCCCCGACCCATGGCTAATGGAAACTGAGGTGGGCGGGCCACCGGGCAGCCAAGCCCTAGTCCAGGAGCTGACAGCCAGGAGCCTCCCAGGGAGCGCGGACCCCGAAGCAGGTAGGAGGACCCGTTGCAGACATCTCCCTGGCTACTGCTCAGCGGCCTGGCCAGGCTGCTGTGCAACTGTGGCTGCCCTGGAGCCTCCGCTCAGAGACAAGAGAAGTCCTGCCTCTTGAAACTCCCCTAGGGGTTTCAGATGCACCAACGAGGGTTTATCGTTTGGGGGGAGTGGGGGCAGTTGCTGTAGACACCCCCAACAAGAGGCTCCCCTGCCCAGCATGTCGGAAAGCTGCAGGCCGTTCCCCGGAGCAGGAACCACCGCACTCTTGGGCCAGCTTCTCTCTCTCTCTGCCTCCCACCTCTTGTCTCCAGGTCCCGGCTCTTTCCCTTTCTGTTGCCGCGAGTGGTCTTCGCGGCGGCCTGCAGTGGGTGGAGATCTGCCGCCCTTGGTCCCCGAGCTCAGAGGGGTTGGGAGCAAGACCTGGGCCTGGTGGCTGAATCCCTGGGTTGTATCAGCCGTACTTCCTTTATTGGGGGCGAGAGAGCTAACTTCCGCCTCTCCCCGCCACTTTTCCCTGCTCCTCAGCTGGATTGGCTCACCTTTTGGGAAATTCATCTCCCCTAGACACTCGGAGTTTGGGGGTGCCACCTAGTGGAAGATCTCGAAGCTAGGGCCTTGAAAGGCTCCTCCTGTCCTCAGGCTGTTTCAACAGAGTGGTGTAGAGGTGGTGAGGGGTCACCACTCTCTAACCCCAACGAAAGGAATTAGGTTTCCCCTACCCCATTCTAATCTGGCCAGGAGATGACCTCTGGGGTATTCTTTCAGTTAGGGGAGAGGACACTTGAAACCTAAAGAAGGAAGGTGGGCGATCCTCTACGTAGCTCAGGCTGGCCTCATATTCACCCTGTAGCCTGGAACTTATAATCCTCCCACCTCAGCCTCCCAAGAGCTGGGGTCAAAGTCATGTCTATCATGCCTATCGGAAGCTCTGAGGTTTGGCTGTTGGGATTTTGCCTTCCGTGGCCACCAGCATTCAGAGACTGATGAACTGAAGCACAGCCAACGATTTCTGAGGCCCTTGGCAATTGATCAGCGGCAGATTCTGCACTGTCCCTGTACTCACCCTTTCTTTTATAGATTTGTTTGTTTTTGAGCAGGATTTATCTGTCCCTGACTGCTCGGGAACTTGCTATGTAGACCATGGCCTTGAACTCACAAAGATCAGCCTGCCTTAGCCAGGCGTTGGTGGCCCACGCCTTTAATCCCAGCACTCGGGAGGCAGAGGCAGGCAGATCTCTGTGAGTTCGAGACCAGCCTGGACTACTAAGTGAGTTCCAGGACAGCCTCCAAAGCCACAGAGAAACCCTGTCTCGAAAAGCCAAAAAAAAAAAAGATCAGCCTGCCTTTGCTTCTGGATGCTGGGGTTAAAGGTGTGTGCCACCATCGCCCGGCTGTACCCACCCTATTTTCCATCCTGTGTAGGTCACCTGCCTGGGAAATGCTCTGCCCCTTCACTATGTTTGGACCTCTGGTCTCTGGGATTTAGGGCCTATTCCCTGACAATGTGCAGGGATGTCAGTTGACATATGAACCAGGTCCAATATCCACAGTCCGTTTTCTCTGACTTGATACTTGGGCATGGATTTGAAAAGTTAAAGTAATATGAATCCTGCTTTGCATAGTTGTTACAGAGAAACACAGTAAGGAATGGCAAAGTGGCTCCCTGGAGGGTCTCTGAATATTGCTGTTTTTGCTGCCGCAGGCAGGGCAGTATCACTCTGGCTTGCTGGGTAGGCCAGTGAGTATCACTCTGGCTTGCTGGGTAGGCCAGCTGAGCCGGGGAACAGCTTATTAGGGAAGTGAGAGGTTCGGTTCCTCCTGCTGAGGCAGAGGACCAGTGAAGCAGTACCTTGACTTTCCACTGGCTGCTGACTTTTGCTTTCTGAGTAGGGAGAAACAGGTGGTGTGTTTGAGGATGCTGGGGGGGTGATGCTGGGGTACCAAGTTAGCTTCAAGACTAACCCAGCCTCTGTGTGCCCTTCCCTGGGTGGGGAGGGAACAGTTGTGGGCAGGCAGTGGCTGGCCTGTGGGGAAGGCAGCCCAGACTCCCCTGGCCACTGCACTTCCGTTTTCACAACTTTCTCAACCCCTGGTTTCCCATATGATCATGTGATTGACAACTCTATTTCCCCAAGGCCTTTGAAAAGTACATGTGGGAGTTCAGCACCAGGCAGGGAGGTGAGGCTGGCTGTCCTCCTGTGGCTGCTGAAGCCTCCTCTGCCCCCCAGCCAGCCCACAGTCCCATAAATCCGTGCCTCCTGACTGTCATAACTCCGCTCCGCTCACCTGTAGTGCCGGGTGTTAGGCTGGGAATCAACCCCTGTGTTCATACCGGCACTCACGCTCACAGTGTGTACAAGCTGGTGCAGTTGTGATGCACATAGGGTCGGGGCTGACTCAGGCATCTACTTGCCTTCCTGCTCACTTGTTGAGAAGATTCAATAAATCCAAGGCATGTCATGCTTTGGCCAGGGCATGGGGAAGTGCATGGCCTCAGAATAGAAGGTGGCAGAAGCTTAAGATGGCTGCCAAACTTTCCTTGGCATTTGCAGGCAGACCATGTGGACCCTGGTGAGCTGGCTGGCCTTAGTGGCAGGGCTGGCGACTGGAACACAGTGTCCAGATGGTCAGTTTTGCCCTATTGCCTGCTGCCTGGACCCAGGAGGAATCAACTACAGCTGCTGCAACCCTCTTCTGGTAAGTGTCTCATGCCGCAGCTGGCAGCCTGGCTTTTTGAAGGGCTACCTTGGATTGGCCAGAAGCGGACTGGCACAGATCCTCCGGAACATGTCATATTGCTTCTTTCCAGGACACATTGCCTATGGTGATGAGCAATCGTCTAGGTAGATCCTGTCAGGTGCATGACCACTGTCCTGCTGGCTACTCTTGTCTCCTCACTGTGTCAGGGACTTCCAGTTGCTGCCCCTTCCCTAAGGTGAGGGTGCAATTGGCATGGGGTGTGTGCTTAAGATTTGCATTTACCAGCCGGGCGGTGGTGGCGCACGCCTTTAATCCCAGCACTCGGGAGGCAGAGGCAGGCGGATCTTTGTGCGTTCGGGGCCAGGCTGGACCGATAGCCTCTGAAACAATACAGAGAAACCCTGTCTCGTAAAAACCAACAAAAAAAAAAATAAAGATTTGCGTTTACCTCTTTCCTTCACTCCCCTAGTCTCGGGCAGAAGGGTCTTGCTCACACAAGCTTCTCTGCGTCCCACAGGGTGTATCTTGTGGTGATGGCTACCACTGCTGTCCCCGGGGCTTCCACTGTAGTACGGATGGGACATCCTGCTTCAGAGTATCAGGTGCTGTGGGGCACCGGGGTTGGAGGCAGGTGGGGAGGGAGGGGAGGGTGGGCATCATGTGGTACCTGAAATGCCCAGGAGCTCTTCTGCCTGGGTGGCCCTGATTCCTGTTCTGCTCTGAACAGAGGGATGGTTCTCAGAGCAGAAGGGGCAGACAAGGATGCAGAATTTCAGGTGGTGTGGGACATGGAAAGGCCACCCTGGAGTGACTTAACACCCGCCCACTTTCACCGGATGCCTCTGTCATGTCTCTGAAGTAGGGGCTGGCTTGTGGCACGGGTGAGCTGGGATCCTGGGCCGTCGCCTAAGCCCCGGTACCAGCTGTTAGGCCTTCTGAAGTTGGGCCTGCAGTGTCTGTAGTGACAATGCTGGGAGTAGCCTTTCCTGACTGGATTGGTGGAATCCTGGCCTCTCCCGTCTGCAGATAACACCATGAGGGCTGTTCAGTGCCCCGGGAGTCAGTTTGAATGTCCGGACTCCTCTACTTGCTGCATTATGATTGATGGTTCCTGGGGATGCTGCCCCATGCCCCAGGTACAGATATGGGGAAACGGGGGTGACTAGCGAGTAGTGGGGGGTACAGCTGGGAGCTGGGTCTGATGAAGATGGATTATGGACCATCCATCTCTTGTCAGGCCTCTTGCTGTGAAGACAAAATACATTGCTGTCCCCATGGGGCCTCCTGTGACCTGGTTCACACACTGTGCATTACGGCTTCGGGCACCCAGGCCCTGATGAAGAAGTTTCCTGCACAAAGGGCAGGTGAGGAGCGGGGAGACCATCTAGCAAGCACTTGAGGGTGTGGCTAGAAAAGAAGTTCCCCTCCCTCATGTCTCATTTCTCTTTCAGCGGCTTTGCCTTTTTCAGTGGTCTGCCCTGATGCACAGACCCAGTGCCCTGATGACTCTACCTGCTGTGAGCTACCCACGGGGAAGTATGGCTGCTGTCCAATTCCCAACGTGAGTGACGGGCCGGAGCCAGCTGGTCCTAGACAAGGGGGCTCTAGGAACTGGGCTGATCGCTGGAAGCCTTAAGGCTCGTGCTGCCCTCTAGTGGGGGATTCGGGCAGTGTAGACCGTCAGCCTGGCTCTCTAGACACTGGACACTGGAATTCAGAGTCCCGTATTTGTCCCTACCTAGGCCATCTGCTGTTCCGACCATCAGCACTGCTGTCCCCAGGACACTGTGTGTGACCTGATCCAGAGTAAGTGCCTATCCAAGGACTACACCACGGACCTCCTGACCAAGCTGCTTGGATACCCAGGTACAGGGACAGACCGTTTCATCTCTCAGCTCTGGGACGGATGTGGGGGTGCGTGTTGATGGCTGCTGCATGGGGGCAGAGGCATCCTGTGGTTGAGATAGCCATGTGCTCCGTCCTCAACACCTAGTCCCAGTGCCTACAGTGCGGGAGGTCAAGTGCGACGCGGAGGTGAGCTGCCCGGATGGATACACCTGCTGCCACCTCACCACCGGGGCCTGGGGCTGCTGTCCGTTTGCCGAGGTACCTGGGACAGTGGGCATATGGATCAAACGGGGGGGGGGCAACCAGCCTGGCTCCGGTGTGTCTTAGCCTTTCTCTGTCCACCTTAGGCTGTGTGCTGTGAGGACCATATACACTGCTGCCCGACAGGGTTTCAGTGTCACATAGAGACAGGAACCTGTGAAATGGGAGCCCTGCGGGTACCCTGGATGAAGAGGGTCATAGCCCCCCTCAGCCTGCCAGAACCACAAGCCTTCAAGGGTGACGTCCACTGTGATGACTTGACTTCCTGTCCTCCTGATAATACCTGCTGCAGACTCCTTTCTGGGGATTGGGGCTGTTGTCCCGTCCCAGAGGTACAAGGGTAGGGGGACAGGGGTGTGGGGGTGGGGACAGCATCTTGGCCTGAGCAGTTGGGTGGCAGGAGTCCCGTTGCTTTATTCTTCTGCATTCTAGTCCAGGGTGGAGCCCCGGGCTGTGATTTGTCCCCCAGCGGAGGGTCTATGAGCAGGAGAGGGATTTTGACGGTTCCTCTACAGAACACTCTTCTCTGCCACCCCTAGGCTGTCTGCTGCGCAGACCGCCAGCATTGCTGCCCCCAGGGCTTCACGTGTACGATTGAGGGGTACTGTCAGTCGGGAGACAGAATGGTGGCTGGCCTGGAGACGATACCCGCTCACCGGACAACTCTGTTCCAAACTGGAGATATGGGCTGTGACCAGCACATCAGCTGTCCGGTGGGGCAGACCTGCTGTCCCAGCCTGACAGGAAGCTGGGCCTGCTGCCAGTTACCCCATGTGAGTCTCCACCCACTGTCCTGGGGGGCGGGAGCTGTGTTCTTGGGATAGCACAGCAGTGTGATGCCGTCCCGCCGCTCCCAGGCTGTGTGCTGTGAAGATGGACAGCACTGCTGCCCGACCGGGTACATCTGCAACGTGAAGGCGAGGACCTGCGAGAAGTATGCCAACTCCGTCCAGGCTTCCGCCCACCTGATCTTTGACCCTAACGCCGAGGATATAGAGTGTGGGGCAGGGCATTACTGCCACGACAGCCAAACCTGTTGTAGAGACAGCCAAGGAAGCTGGGCCTGCTGTCCCTACCTGAAGGTCAGTGTGACCCCCGACCCTGGGGCTGGGTGGCACCGTGGGGTGGGTTCTGCCTTGTCCAGTACTAACTCTCCCTTGACCATCCAGGGCATTTGCTGTACAGATGGGCGTCACTGTTGCCCCTTTGGCTTCCACTGTTCGGCCAAGGGAACCAAGTGTTTGTGAAAGAAGACCCCTCGCTGGGACATGTTTTTGACGGATCCAGCCCCAAGACAGTTGCTATAAGGAGGGGCTAAAGACTAAAGAACCCCACAGCCCTGGGGACCCTGTTCAGAGGGTATCCATCACTCAGGCCTCCCTAAAGCACCTCTTCCCCTAGAGCCACCCATTCTGAGCCGCCCCATCACCATGGGAAGTGGGACCTCAAACTAAGACCTTCTTTTATGCAAAGAAGGGTTTGGCAAAAGCCCCATTTCAAACTGCCATTTCTTCCGATTTCTGTGAACCTATGGCCAGGTGCTCTTCCCAATCCACAGGTATTGTGCGAGCTTGTTTGTGTGTGTGTGCGCGCGCGCGTGCATGCGCGCGTGTATTTGCTCTAATAAAGTTTGTACACTTTCTTAGTAGTGTCTGATTTGATGCTCTGGGGTCCTCAAGTGTCAACACCCTCCTTAGGAACACACACACATACAGCTTTAGCCTCACCAGCTTTGTATTTTTGTGTCTAGAGCGTCACCATCACATTACCCCCTAGTCCCCAGGACCGCCCCAGCCACCAGCCCTGTGACATCCAAGCAGCACCCCTCCCCTCCCAAGGGTCCACAGAGATCGCCCCTCCCTTCCCAGCCCTTACCCTCGCAGCTGAGGTTTGGTTGCCCCTCCTGCTGTCCCACGATAGATCTTTCTATGTACAGCCACATTTGTACAGGCACTGCTCCCACCCCGTCCTCCTTCCCAGCCCCTCCCATGGGGGACCGGCCCCTCCCATCTCCTTTGGTAGAGGCCGATCCAGGGTCCCTTCCCAAGACACTCCCCCAGCACATACCACGGATGGGTCAACAGGTCCCTGAGCCCTTGACCGGCTATGAGCGCGTGTGCCCCCCCCGCAGCACCCCGGGGCACGCACTCTGGGGACCTGCACTGGCGGCAGGGGCGGTGGCCGACCCCCAGGCCGCACTACTTGACGTTGAACACCATTAGCGGCCGCTCCTCCCGCCGCTGCCAAGGGCTCTTCTTGTCGCCTGCCTCGTCGCCCACCTCCGCCCCCAGCTCGTCCTCCGGGCTGGTGAGCGAGTCGCGCCGCAGCTCGCTGGCGCTGCTGCGGGAACTGTCCCCACGGCTGCGGCCCCGACCCCGGGGCACCGTGGCTGCCCGACCCTCGGGCGCCACCACCTCGTCCAGGAGGGGCGTAAGCGAGTTGTCCTCGGGCGAGCAGAGGCCGGTGCGGCTCTCGCTGCTGCTGGGCTCCGTGTCCTCGCTGAGCGCCAGGCGCGGGGGCGCGGGCGGCGGCGGCGGCGCGGGCGGCTGCGCGCGCTCCCGTTCCTCTCTCGGGGGCCGGCGACGCGCGGGCCGCGCCTCGTGCACGTCGACGCCGGAGTCCAGGCTGGCGTCCGTGCTGCGGCCGCCGCCGCCCGCCTGGAGGTCGATGTAGGAGTGGCGCACCTGCGAGTTGGAACGCCCGTCCAGGGACACGAACCAGGCGCGCGGGTGAGGCTTCACGCCCAGTTCCAGCAGCTTCTTCTCGGTCAGGGCCTGCAGCTCGCCGTTGAGCTGCGCCATGGTGGACTCGTTGAACAGCACCGGGATGGTGACCGAGCCGCTGACGGGTGCAGAGCGCCCGCCGCCCCAGCCCTCGCCGCCGCCGCCGCCGCCGCCGTCTCCCCCCGCACCCGCGTGGCCCTGCATCAGCGGGCGCTGGGCGTCGGGTTGAGGGTAAGGGCGCGCGGGGCCGGCGGCCGAGCCTTCCGGGGGGGTGGCCTCGTCGCCCACTCCCACGGCGCCCGCCTCGCCGCCCAGGCGCACGTAGTGTGCGGGGATCACCAGGGTGGGCATGACGTTGCGGTACACGTTGTCCTTGAGGTGGTCGATGGAGCCGCAGAAGATGAGCTGGCCGGGCTGGCTGAGGGACGGCGGCCGCGCCAGCTGGTCCACCGACTGCGACAGCAGAAAGTCAGGGGTCTTGCTCTCGGTCGCCCCCTTGTGGCCCAGATAGTGGTCGAAGGACGGCGGCGGCGAGGGAGGCTCGTGCAGGAAGGCCGCGGCCCCCGCCGCACCCCTGCGGTACTCGTCTAGGCCTGGCTCCAGCCCTCCAGGACCCTCGACGGAGCGGGCGCCCTTGAGCCCGGCACTGTCGCCGCTGCGAGCCCCAGGAGGCTCGGCGGCCGGACGACTGGCGGAGCGCGGTTTGGCACGGAAGAAGTCATCTCTTGAGGATGCCAAGTCCCGGGAGCTGGAGAAGGCCGAGTGTAGGGAGCCTGGGGGCGGGGCCTCGGGGTCTCCCGAAGATGTAGGCTCCAGGGGTCCCCCGCAGATGAGATGGAGTTGAGACATCGACGTAGCCTGATCTCGTTTGTTGTCCGAGAGGCCGGAGAGCTGCAGCTTGCGGTGTTGTTGTCTTGGCTTCAAGCAGCGTCTCCTGGAAAGAGACAGGACTCAGAAATGCTGAAAGCAAAAGTCTCCTTGACCCCCACAGTTGCCAACACAGGGAATAAAGAGGACAGCGGCGTGGATAGTGGATGATGCCTGGAACAGTCACGATAGGCGGGGCGGGGAGGGGCCTATATGATGCCCGAAGGCTGTTTGTAGAAAGAGGATAACACATCCACTTCATCCTTCAGCTTCAAGGGGTGAACTTGGTAATGCTTGGCATGAAGCCAGCTAGGAGTGCGTGCTCTGGGGGTCCCCTGGAGTGAGAGCTGGGAGTGCGTACTCTGGGGGTCCCCTGGAGTGAGAGCTGGCCTGGCTGGAGCAGTCTCTGCAATGGGCAAGGCCCACAGGCCCTGCCATCTGTCACCCCTTTCTCTAAAGCCACCAGCCTCTCAGGTCTTAGCTCTTGCTCTGCCGTTCCTTCCGGGAAGCACGGTGGGGATCAGAATTGTGCTTCCTGCATCTTTGGAACCCCAGTGCAGGGATCCTGGGAGAGAAGGCGGGGTGAGTCCCAGGAGCACTCACCGGCAGTAGTAGATCAGCAGACACAGCAGAATGAGAACCAGCAGGGCTAGAGCGGCCAGGATGGTCAGCAGGAAGATCGTGTGGTAGGTGCCAATGTCTTGAATGCCTGAGGTGATGGTAACCAGCCCTGTGCCAGGCAAGGGCTTAGGATGCCCTTCCTGCCTTCCACAAGGCCTGAGTTCTCCCAGCCTTCCCACCCACCACTGCCCACTGCCCAACCAATCTCACCAGACGTAGGGGAGGCCATGGCAGCCGCCCAGTACCCCAGCTGTGGGGAGACAAAAGTCCAGTAGAGCTGCCGGCCCTCCTTCCGAATCACACCTGTGCCATTTCGTACCCACAGTCCTGGAAGAGGCCAGAGGAGTTCATCAAACTCAGTGTTCTGCAGCCTCTAACCTAAGCCCCACCTCCCACCTAAGCCCCACCTCCCACCTAAGCCCCACCTCCCACCTAAGCCCCACCTCCCACCTAAGCCCCACCTTCCACATAAGCCCCACCTCCCACCTAAGCCCCACCTCCTGCAGCTCCGCCCTTTCACTTACCGCTCTTGGGGTCAAATCTCCAGGCTGGAATGCTGGTGCCCACAGCCAGGGCACGAGGCTCTGAGGGCACTGGCAGGGACAGATGAATGGGGCCTGAGAGCGGCACTTCTGTCCCATTGCCTGTTAGAAGGTGTACACTCACAGCGGCCAGGGGTATCAACTCCAGCCAGGAGCCATTGCCTGGGGGAAAAGGACACTGGCACTAAGGGCTAAGTCCCTAGGGAAGGAAGTCCCCGCCTACCTTCAGCCCATGGCCTACCTGAGTTGGAGGCCTCGGTGCCCAGGAAGGCAGGGAAAGCCCGCATTTCTTGCTGGGTGCTCGCAGATGTGAGTGAAGCCCAAAGCTGGCTGTAGGTGGTGCTGACGGGCAGGCGGGCAGCTCTGCGCTGGAACTGCACCCAGGGCTGTGAACGGGCACCTGGATGGGAAGCGGGCACTCTGGTAGACTGACCCGGACCAAAACAGAATGCAAACATCCAGAAGAAGGGAACCGCTGGGCTAGGCCAGGTGAAAAGGCCAGGGTGGTGACAGAAAAATGGGCAACCGTGGATTGTTAGCTCAAAGGGATGTGGTACTGAAACTGCCCTGTCTGGTGACTGTGTGACCTTCTGCAAATTACTTGCTTTCTCTCAAGTTTCCTTATGAACCTATAAAATGATGAGGGCCATGGGACTGAAGAGAAGAGGTCATGTCTTAAAGGGTTGGGCTGCTCATGCAGAGACCCTGGGTTCTGTTCCCAGCACCTACAAAGCAGCTCACAACCACCTATAACTCTGGTTCCAGGGGACCCAACACCCTCTTCCAATCCCCATGGCTTCCTGAATGCACACAGTACACAGAAATACACTCAATCACACACACACACACACACACACACACACACACACACACACACACACAGTCATGCCCTGAGCTAATAGCATCTGCTGAGTGACAGGCATTGAGTTAGGTCCTGGGATGTGGAGTTGACTAAGAGACAATCCCCTGCCTTTAACCCTAGCACTGGGGAGGCAGAGGCAGATGGATCTCTGTGAGTTCGAGGCCAGCCTGGTCTACAAGAGCTAGTTCCAGGACAGCCTCCAAAGCCACAGAGAAACCCTGTCTCCAAAAAACCAAAAAAAAATATATATATATTTCCCTTTATTTTTACGTGTATGAGTATCTTGTCTGTATGTATGTCTGTGCACTACTTGTGTGCAGTGCTCTCAGAGGCCAGAAGAGGGCATCAGATTCCCTAGGGCAAGGGAGTTTGTGAGGCACTATGCTGGTACTGGGAACCCAATAGGATCCAAGTGCTTAGAAAAGCAACAAGTGAGCCGGGCGTTGGTGGCGCACGCCTTTAATCCCAGCACTCGGAAGGCAGAGGCAGGTGGATCTCTGTGAGTTCAAGGCCAGCCTGGTCTACAGAGTGAGTTCCAGGACAGCCTCCAAAACAATACAGAGAAACCCTGTCTCGAAAAACCAAAACAAAAAAAAAAAAAAAAAAAAGAAAAGCAACAAGTGCTCTTAAGCACTGAGCCATCTCTTCAGCCCCACATCATTTCCATTTAGATAGACACACAACACATTAGCTTACTGCGTGTGTGTGTTGGGGCCGAGGGAGCAGGCATATAAACAGAATTCCAATTGAATGTGATCATAGGTAACATTTATTAATCTTCAAAATATGCTGGATACTGTCCTAAGCAGGCTATGTATAGGAAACTCCTTAATTAGCCTAACAGCTCCTGAGGTATCAACTCCATTTTATAGATTCAGAAATGGAGCCAGAACTTCAGCAACAGGGCCATCATCCTGGAGCCTGTCCCTGTCCCCCACATCCCTGCACACAAGTTCATCCCTTACTACTAAATGTCGGGAGCCTGGCCCACCCTCTGGAGTTTTGTAGGGTAAGGGAGAAAGAGAGT